TCACGAGGCATAACTGGAAATTTGAAGAACTTTATTATCGATACCATCGGTATTCTTCAACCGAATGCAAACGCTAAGCAGGTTTATAGGGAGAATTTGTTTTTATTTATAGTATTCTCACCATACTTACTGTCTCCAAAAATCATTCGACTCATTCAGAGTTGATGGTACTCACTGACTGAGATAATAACGTGATATGTGAATATTGGGCATTTGATTTTAAAACAAATCATGGGGAATAAATGATTGCATCAATGTACAAATAATATTATTTATTTTTTGTTTAAAATATTCATTAATAACGTAAAGGGATTGGAAGCAGTGAACGAATTTCTGCAATCTGTTGGACGTTTCGGTGAATCTCCGTTTCTGTGGACGTTTTATGGTAGTGCTGAGTTACCGCAATGTTTTTGTCGTTTGTGTGCGGTTTACGGGGGGACGTATTGTTTGAAGCAGCAAATCGATGCGTTCATCATCAAAAATAACAGGTTAGTTCCTATTTGTGTTGTTTGTATTTCGTGTTCAGTTTCACNTTGCAAATCTTTTCAGTTTTCTCAGATACCATTCTGACCTCCGTACAGCAAATCGAACATCCCTCGTTCTTTATCTACTTTTATTATGATTTCTATCATAATCATCATTATTAATGCTATTGCTATGATTAATATCGCTACTTTTGTTGTCAGTTATCAGTTAGTCTTTGTCTGTTTTCGGAATAGATGGGTGCATTTTGCAGGATCGAAGCGATTCAAACGAGGGGACAACGTATCTCGTGTAAGCACGTTATTATTAGTGCATCGTATTTGCCGGATTGTTATTTAACCAAAGAAAAGCGCAATAAAAGTGTGCAACGAGCGATTTTAATCAGCAACAGCTCGGTGTTGAGCGATTCACAGAAGGAACATGTCAGTTGATGATTTATTTCATACGCTGCTAATTTTATTTATTTTTTCGTTGAGTTGATTTGGTGATGTGTTCTTTGTTTTTGTTTTGTTGGCGTACATAACATCTTCATTCATAGAGTACCGAGCATTATGAGGAGTTGTTTGGTTGGGTCATTTCTGTTGGATCATTTGACGGTGATCTTGCCATATTGTTTTCATTTGGCTTTGAGTGGTTTTTGAAATTGTTTTGCGATGTTTCCATTTTATGTTTTGTAATTTTATAGATCATTCCATCTGAATGGAAAAAATAATAGGTGTTAGCGAGTGCTATTTGAATTTTAATGATACGCATAGGAAAAGGCAGAAGAATGGTGAAAAGAGAATTTGCTACCAATCACACTTGGTTTTGCCGAAAG